TCGGAAAGCGAGTGCATTTTGTCACCCACTTTCATCTCAGCAACCAGGAAAGTTGGGAGGCTGAAAATTTGGATATATGTTCTTACCCCGTGTGTCGTCCTTCCGTTTTAAGATCTTTCCCCATACGCGCCTAGACCCCACGTACGGGACCCCCAAAGAAATATTTTGACGTGAAACTATTTCGCAAACCAGGCAATGTGAAAAGCTAAAACTTTGCAGGGATATTCTCTACGCATGTGTGAGCTAAAGATTTTAAACTCAGCTGTCGAGCATCCCAACCACAGCCTCAAGCAGCTCCTCGACCCAAAAATCGTTAGCAACTCGGACCTGACCGCAGTCGTATATGTAAATGAACATGGATTTTTTGACAAACGACCGCTCGAGCAATACTTACACTTTTTAGTGGACTGGAAATTTGCATTTTTCCGAAAAATTTGCATTTGTCATTTTTTCGCAAGGCGAGCATTTACCGAAAAAACTACTGGACTTCATGCAAAAAATCGATAATCATGCTCCTGGATGTCCATGCGGCTCTATAATGCACCACCTTCATCCCAACTGGCGCCCTTCCTCCACCAAGTCGGAAAGGATCAAAACACGCCACTGTGACCCAAATGTTAGGCTACAGCGCAGGGATCATTCCTGCTAACAGCGATCAGCGAGTTTAGTGAAAAACTCATGGTCGCACCGGAGAGTCTGGTACGTTCCAGCCTGGGTTATAGTACAGTCTAATGTTGATTCAAATAAAAAAGCGAATAAAAAAGACAGAATGATCTCAAAAATTACTGAGCTGCTTGCGTGAGTACTGGGGCCAGCACTTGCTGTATCATTATCATTCATTTTACCATGGATGCAGTGGTTACTATCTTGCCTCCTTCTCCGTTATTCAGCCTCTCTCGTCCATATAGGTCCTGTCGTGAACAGAGCCCTCTTTCGAAATTGATTGTGGACTAGGTGGGAGTCGAACCACTTCGCTTCACATTCAAACGCTACGTGCTACCCATTGGTTCTCGACTTTTTTTTTTTTGATTGCGACCCCCTTTTTAAGGACTTTTGCGCCGCTGCCCCTCTTTTTTAAAGTACTTTTTGCCGCCGTTGCCCAGCAAGAATTAATTGAAGACTTAAAGCACTAGACTGCACCAAATATTTGTTTCATTTTCCTTATGAATGGTCTACAAACTTGACGAGACGGGGAAATGAGTTAATCTGTTAATATACACATACCGGTTGTGACATCTTTATTGCAGTGATTCTGATTGAATTTAAAGTGGCATCATTAACGCATTTCTCGCTCAGCTGGCGATTTCATGGTTCTTTAACATGCTAATTACAAATTTGTTGCCAATTTTTGCACTGAAATCCGATGAAAATTTAATTCATTTCTCACTTCGTCCCATTTTTGTCTGTCTTCTCGGCCTCCCAGTGGCCATCTCGTGGTGCTTGGAGGCCCGCGAACCACAGGCTGAGAACTACTGTACTACACCATTGGTCCTTGTGCTCCAGGCGCCTTGCTGGCTACTGTATTCTGCATGTGTGGCATTCTCTACCGCAGCTGCTGCACCTTCTACAGCACACCTTCTTAACAGCTACCGGTCTGATTCATATTATCAGCGCTCGTTTGCCAATTTGCTTCTGCAGTGTGGTTTATGGTAGGAAACCCGCCTTGTCCATTCTGAAGCGAATAATTGTAAAAATGAAAGGAATTTGGGAAAGTAGTTTACGGCAATAGAATCAGAAGTATTCATATGAGAATCAGAAGTGTTCCCTGTTTATCATCCGTCTTGTGCTGTATAAAAGCAGTACAAACAGTTATTGTCATGTGCTTGTCTTTGTTTGTGTGGTGTGTGTGTCCGTGGCAACTTGTCGCAACTTTCAACTCGGGAACCACGAAAGCAAGGAAGCTGAAGATTTGGGGGAACGTTCCCCACCCACATGTGACCTTGCAGGCTTAAATTCAGCCCCCTCGTATCCGCGGATAACGCATACGGCCGCGTAAAAGATTGGGTGGATAAAATTACTGTCACGGAAACCATGAAAGCTATAAGGCTGAAATTTTATGGGCATCTCCCGTGTCCAAATGCGACCCGGAAATTTTAAATTCAGCCTTCTCCTGCCCGCAGATAACATGAGCGACTCCCTGGAAATTTTAGCGGGTAAATTATTGTCTCGGAAACCGCGAAATCTAGGAAGCTGAAATTTTAGGGTAATTACCCCCTCCCCCTTGCCTACGAATGATCTTGCAAATTTAAAATCAGCGTTCCCGCGCTCTCGGGTATCACCTATGGCTTTGTGAAAATTTTAGCGGGTAAATTATTAACTCGGGAACATGGAATCGAGGAAGCTGAAATTTTAGCATGGCATCCCCTGTCCACTTGCAACTCCGCAAATTTTCAACGTCCTCATGAAAGTTTTGGTGAGAACCCAGAAACCCGGAAATGCTAGAAGACTGAAAATTTCAGGGGAATGTTTCCTACCTAAACAAGGGTTTCACAAACTCGAATTTGTTTCCTAAGTATGCCAAGGTCTTACGTACGACCACGTGAAAGTTTTGTCTCAAAGACCATTCAAAAGCCAGAAAATTGGGAGATTGAAATTTTGGAAGGGCATTCACCCTTTGAGGTTTCAAATTCAGCTTTCACGCGCCAGTCTGTGAAATTTTCAACTGTTTGAAAAACAGCGTTTCAACTATTTTTGCACAGGGTAAAGTACAAAGCAGTGAAAAATTATTAACGGGCAATCGTTCAGTAGATGGAATTGCAAAAAACGCATGATTGCACCGGCTATTCTGGTGCGCGCTGCTATTTATTTTTGCCAGTTCCCTCACTGGAAATTGCAATTAGCTGATGTTCATTTTACAGGCGGTCCAAACGGTGCCGTCGACTCTCGAAGTCTCAGTCCAGTAAGCTGTCATCACCGTCAAATGTAGCACATCGTGTGGATACAATACTGTCAGCGCAAGTCCCTTTTGTTGCCGAACACACGGTAGTGGCAAATTAAGCGAAGCCAGTGTTCCTGACACTGTGCAGGTTCGTTGCTTCTTTATTGATGTAACAATGTTTCACAGCATATTTGTGGTCTCAGGCGGTAATTTGTACGTTCTTTTTTTTTTTGAAAAAAGTAATGTCCTTTTGAACTGGACTAATTTCTTGAATTGGCCTGTGTTGTAAGTTTTAACCTCCTCAGTTTCATTTCAGAGTACTCCCTCCCATCCAGTTAACCCTCTTTTTATTCTTTTTTTTTCCTACTTTTTTACTCAATTTTGCAAATTTTGAGTTTATTTCCCTGCAATATAATTAGTGTGATGGTTTTGCTGCTGCTGTCTCTCTGCAGAGAATGAATTTGTCATTTCACATGCCATTTTGCTGTTTGATCTGCTTCTGCCCAGCAGTTTTCGCATCGCTTGCGCCTCCACGTTCTCCAAAAAGATGCATGCAGTTGCTTTGAATTTCATATGCGTCGAACTGCACTGTTAGCTAACTGAAGTAAAATGTGATCATGTTCTGTCGATAACTCAGTATTGTTTGTTTCAGCAAAACGGCGATGCACCGCTGTCTTGTCGGGACGACGAACGAAGTAATCTTTTCATCTGTTTTCCGCTTTCATTCCCCAAGCCTCACTTCCAATCAGAGGTTTTGTGAAAAATTATTGTTTCTTTACTGGCAAAGTAAAAATTAGATGAGCCCTGTTTTTTTCGTATTTTTTAATTTTCAGAAAGTGGGTTACTAAAGTCTGAAATATTCTAACTAGAAGAATTATTCCTGAGGAATTTCTCAGCCTTGTACACATTTGCGTAGTAATCGTAATAGAAGTACACAGAATGATCGGAGTATTGCTACAGAAATGATGGAGAAAATTCTACAGTCGATCAGTCGATAGAATTCAAGCTCATAAGCTACTTGATCCACAGCAACATTCTGGACGAAGCGTTGAATTTCAGTACACACAATCGAAAAATTAACTGCGAAGTACTTCGCCAAGTAGGCTCCTACCAGTGGGCAGATAGCTCCTTCACGAAGAGAAACGAGCATCAAGATTACTTTTATTCCATCGCCAGACGATACTGAATTAGTCAAAATATTTGCAAAAGTTACTGGATGGACAGATGAAGGTCTAGACTATGATTAAGGAGCTGTTCCAGGCAGAGGACTTCAGTCGCAGACCTAATTTGACAATCACACTGGGCTGCATACGATGAGCGAAGGCTGTTTAAAAAATTAAAGTATTTAAAACTGGCTGTAGAACATTATCGTACCAACTGACTTTGCAGTTTTGCGATGAATGGCGTGGTGATTGCTCCAGCAGCCGCTGTTAGCACCAAATCATCGGACTGCTGGAAGGAACAGCATTCCTTGCCTCCGGTAGCATCGATGGGTTGTAGCGGCAACAACACCGTTGTTAATAGCATCCTTTCATCACCGAAGACTGGGACATACAGCCTGCGTTACATACCCTATGAAAATCCGCATAAGCCATAGAAAGAGCACAAACATTCCGACACTCATGCGTGTGCGCAGGTAATTTACTTCTGATTTTGCTTTAAAAATGTTTTTATTCATGCGGGGCTGTCATTTTCCTGAGCTTACTAATCTATAGGCCATTTTCAGCAAAACTTCCTCTGTATTTCTTCGTGCAGACAACCCAAATCAAAGGTCAAAAACTCCCTACTCACTCTGTACTGGAGATAAACGCTTTCGTGAGTAGCCGGCATGGTAGCAACTTTGAACTGTATGATAGGGTATTTCAAAATTAGCTTCGCTTATTTCTTCCCATTTTAGAAGTGCTTGGAGAAAGCTCATTGTTAACATTTATTGCTGTGACTTTTTTCAGTGTGCTTTGCAAGTCGTAAGCAAACCTTTACGGTCTTTATCGCATCTAAATGAAGGTTAAAAATTTGGTCACTGAAATCTTGCAAAAGGTGCGGAATATTTGCTCTTCAAAGTCATTTTGGTAGTACAGTTCGATTTTTGATTGTTAGATTGAAATGACCATGCAGTATGTGCGCAAACCAGTGAAAGGCTACTCGATATCACTGTGAGGCGAAGAATAATTTTCGATAGTACTGAAGGTTGGAACGTCAGAAAGCCTATCAACGCAGTACAGCGTGAACGAAAATGTTTCGGAAAGACAACAGCTACAGCTACAGCTACAGCTACAGCTATAGCTACAGCTACAGCTACAGCTACAGCAGCAGCAGCAAGAACAACAACAGGCTTTTTCTTCATCACCGGATTCTGGGACGAGATGGAATAATGTTGGTATGGTGTAGTGGTCCAAGAGCGGGGTGTAGGTTGGCGGCGATTATAGCGATGTCGAACGTCCCGGGCC